CTCTTCTCTATCTCTAATACTCCCCTCCTTCTCTTTCTCTCTCTCTCTCTCTCTTCTCTTCTCCTCTCTCTTCTCTCTCTTCTCTCTCTCCCTCTCTCTCCCCTCTCCCTCCCTCCCTCCCTCCCTCCCTCTTTCTCTCTCTCTCCATGGAATTCTTTAAGAAAAGTTTGTTAGTCGTTGTGAATATCAGGCTTTCGCTATAAGCTTCTGGCTGATGTTGCAACAAGCAATGAATTTCTCAAAGTTTCGTTATAATGTTGTAAATGACATTGTAATTGAGTGTTTATAATAAAAAAATAGTGTATTTATTCCGCGTTTGTGTTAATGTGTGTGTGTGTGTGTGCGTACACTTGTGTGTGTGTGTGTGTCCGTGCGTGGTGTGTGTCCGTGCGTGTGAGTGTTTGGTTGTGTGTGTTGTGTGGTGTGTGTGTGTGACGTGTATGCATGTTGTGTGTGCTGTGCCCTTGCTCTACAATATCTTTATACTGCTGTTTATGCTACCATGACTACTAAAGTGATGATGACAATAAAGATAACTAGAAGCAATCACTTTAAAAATCACCTTAAAATCACCTTACTGTCACCTGTCTCGAGTACACAGGTGACCTCCGTAAACCCTGCATTTGCAACAGGGGTCATGAAACAATAATAAAAAAAAAATGGATCCGGATCATCCACCAAAATTCATGGATTCCAAGTTATGCTAAGATCGCACTCTGGTAAAATTTCCATAATAATCTGTTCATAATAGTTTGAGTTATCTTGCTAATAAACGAACATATAATATCGCCACCAAACTCCAATGGCGTCTATGATAGGCCAAGACACGCCTCTGGTAAATATACATTCGTAATTGTTTGAGTTATCCTGCTAACCAACTAACAAACTAACTATCTCTCTCTCTCTCTCTCTCTCTCTCTCTCTCTCTCTCTCTCTCTCTCTCTCTCTCTCTCTCTCTCTCTCTCTCTCTCTCTCTCTCTCTCTCTCTCTCTCTCTCTCTCTCTCTCTCTCTCTCTCTCTCTCTCTCTCTCTCTCTCTCTCTCTCTCTCTCTCTCTCTCTCTCTCTCTCTCTCTCTCTTCTCTCTTCTCTCTCTCTCTTCTCTCTCTCTCTCTCTCTCTCTCTCTTCTTCTCTCTCTCTCTCTCTCTCTCTCTCTCTCTATCTATCTATCTATCTCTATCTATCTCTATCTATCTCTATCTCTCTCTCTCTCTCTCTCTCTCTCTCTCTCTCTCTCTCTCTCTCTCTCTCTCTCTCTCTCTCTCTCTCTCTCTCTCTCTCTCTCTCTCTCTCTCTTCTATTATTATTATAATAATAATAATGATAATAATAATAATTATTATTATTATCATCATGCTATTATTAACCTTGGCTAATAACAGCAACGGTAGCATCAACTTGCACGAGGATGATCTGCATAATCCCTAACGAAGGTAAATCCACTTTTGCATAAATATTTAATGAGTAGATCGCAGCCATGGATGAGAGTCGAGACAAAGCTGTTTATAACACCGTGGCGCATATAACATGATGTGTATAGTGTAATATACAGTGATGTAACAAAACAGACATACAACGTCCTGTAATAGATAACAGACAGACATTTATCAGAAAATCTATGATATATATATTGTCATAACATGATGCGTATAATTTGATATACAGTGATACAACAGAACATAAACATACAAAGTATTGTAATAGATAACAGATAGACATTTACCAAAATATCTATGATATATAATGTCAATTACAATGAATACTTGTATTTTAGTAATACGAAAAGTAACGTTTTCTATCATTTTCAGAAGAAAAAAACATTTTGCAATAAACAATTCTGAATTATTTTAAAGATATATTATATTTCATATATTTGATTAGAAAGTTGGATATATATCTGATCGTAAAATGGAAGGGTGAAGGGGGAGTGGGGAAAGGAGGGAGGGAGGGAAAGGAGAGAGGGAGGGGGAAGAGAGGGGATGAAGGGCAAGGAGCAGAGGGAGGAAGGGAAGGGAGAGAGGAGAAGATGGGAGAGAGGAGAGAGAGGCAAAGAGGAGAAAAATTAAGCGTTGTTAAAAGAGAGAGAGAAAGAAACAAACTAACAAAGAGAGAAAGAAAGAACACAATCAAATTTAAAAACGAGCCTTATTTCGACCATAAAATATTATCAATGTTCGACATCTCTCCTCTCCCCTCCCCACCCTTCTCTTCCCTCCCCCTCCCTCCTCCATACTCTCCATCCCTCATCCTGTCCTTCCCCCCACCCTCTCTTTCCCTTCCCTCCCTCTCCCTCTACCTCCCCCACCCTTTCCCTCCCTCCCCTCCCCCCCCCCCCCCCCCCACCCACCCCACCATTACCCCATTATCCAATCCAGTGGAGTAAAAGAACGCAGACCCAATTATTCACAGACTTAATGAGTCTGTTGGTTGAATATGGTAATTAATATAGGAAAGATAATGTATACCGTCGGCTGATTAAAATGTATATTTTTCAGCATTTTTTTTTCCTGTGATTTTTTTTTTCTTTTTTTTTATTAATGATCAAAAGTGATTGGCTCCATTACCGTTATTGCTTTTGTTGCTGTTGTTGTTGTTGATTGTTGGTTGTTGTTGCTTGCTGTTGTTGTTATTGTTTGTTGTTGTTGTGTTTGCTGTTGCTATTGTTGCTATGTTGTTGTTGTTGTTAAATTTCTTGTTTGTTGTTTTTGTTATTGAATTGTTGTTTGTTGTTGTTTGTTGATTTTGTTGTATTTTCCCTTGAAAATGATGGATTGGTATTCATGTTTTTTTTTTGTTAATCATATTGAAAAGAAAGAAAAGAAGAAGAGGAGGAAGAGGAGGAGGAGGAGGAGGAGGAAGAAGAAGGAGGAGGGGGAGGAAGAAGAAGAAGAAGGAGGAGGAGAGGAAGAAGAAGAAGAAAGAAGAAAGAAGAAGAAAGAGGAGAGTAAGAGGAGTAGGGGGAGGAAGAGAAAGAGAAGGAGAAGA